GCAGAGTAGAGGGGGAGGATAACCTCCCTCGCCCTGCTGGCCACACTCCTCTTAATGCACCCCAGGACGCCATTGGCCTTCTTGGCAACAAGGGCACACTGCTGGCTCATGGTCAGCTTGTCATCCACCAGGACTCCCAGGCCCCTCTCAGCAGAGCTGCTTCCCAGCAGGTCAGCCCCCAGCCTGTGCTGGTGCATGGGGTTCGACCTCCCCAGGTGCAGCACCCGGCACTGATGTTATCTTCCACCTTCAAGTGTTATTCGCACTTAGCTTTGTGACTTCAGCACTGTTAGGCACACGGAGCACAGGACAATTCTGGAATGAGGGAGAAACAAAATAAAAAATATGGGAATGTTGTAACATTCACATAAGATAGAAAAGTGAGAAAAATATTTCCCTATTCCCCAGCATAGAAAGTTAAAAAAAAATTATATTCGAGTTGGACTGAGGCGTAACAGAGTTCACTAGGATCACATAACGCGTTCACCCAGCCACACAATAAAAATGGGAGGTAGAAAACATCCTGTGTATGTCAGCACTCGAATAAGACAAATGACAACATTATATATGTATACTTATACACACACAAAAAATGCCCACTAGAGGGGACGTAACTGTATAGACAAAAGAAACAGAATAATAAAAATTATGTCACAGAAGACTCCAATATTATTTTATAGCTCTTCTATTAGTGAATACAGTATGAGTGAACTGAGATTGTTCTACGAGATACAGTTGCATTATTATTAAGTTTAGGGCAATGCATCTTTGTTCTAAAATTGTTGAAGTTTTTTTAAATGCCTGCCTATGTGAAATGATTAATGTGGTGCATACTGTGTAGCAGTAGAGTGAGTGGAGAATTAGAGCCTCTGCCAGTTCACCTAGAGGCATTTATCTTTTATTTTTTTCCCTGGTGCCCGTGCTGAGCCTCAGGGTAAGCTGACACATTTTTTAATATAAATTAAGCTTCTTTTTTTTTATGTGTGTTGAAAATCTTGAAGGAAATGAGAAAT